AGATTTTAATAAGATAACTATAAAATCTATAAAACTAATACTATTAAAAGTTAGTTTAAAAGAAATAGAGTTAAGTTTTATTCTTACTCCACCTATAGCCTAGATTTAAATCCAATTAAAAATATATAGAGTTTACTTAAAGATAGGCTAAATAAACGCCCTAGAAAGAGTTTAGGTATAGGGGTTAATTTAAAGAGTATAGAAGCTTTTAAGCTTACTATAATAGAAGAGTAGAATACTATAAGCTAGTAGCCTATAGATAATTATATACTATTCTTACCTAGAAGGTAGAAGGCTATTAAAATAGCTAAGGGCTATTAGACTAAGTATTAGTCTTATCTAATATATATTTATTAACTAAAGTCTAAAAAAACCGAGTTTCTTTATAAATATTAATATAGTAATATAATATATCTATAAACCTAATATATAATAGGTTCTATATAGATAATTAATATATATAAAATATAGGAAAAAAGATACTTAAAATAAAAAGTTATAAGCCTTTAAATATAGCTTAAAAATATACCCCTATTTTAGTAAGCTACTATAGCTAAGAGATGCTTACTAAGCTATAGAGTTTTATACAATCAAAAAGGGCGACCTTTTCTCTAAAAAAATATCTATTTTTTATAGCTATAGCTCTTATATTAAGGAAGTTATAATACTTTAAAAAAGGTTAAATAATTAATTACTCCTTTTTCGTTGCACCCCTCTATATATATAGTAATATATATATATATAAAGGAGTAAAATAGAGATAGGTTACTTACCGCGTTTTATATACTTTTTAAGTACTAGATTAAGTACCTCTTATATATATCTTCTATTATTGAAAGGTATAGAAGATATTAGGTCTCTTATAAAGATTAATTCGGATCTTCCTCCTATCTAAATAGCTTCCTAAACCGAGATAGTTATATCTCTAGCTATATCTTTATTAGTATTATAGCTATTAAAAAACTAATTATATAGAAAAATTTACTATAAAATATAGAATAAAATAGCCTACTAGGATTTTTTTTAAACTTACTTTTATTAGTTATAGAAACTAATTGCCTTCCGGCCTTTATAGAGCTAAATTTACGATAGTACTCCTACCTAGCTCCGTGCCCCCTTTATATAGAGCTTTTATCTAAAAATATAATCTTTTTAAGATTAATTTCCTTCTCTTCTAGCTTCTTAAGCTACTCTTTAGCGTATTTAACTCTTAATTTAGCTAATTTAGCCGAAATAATAGCCTTTTTAGTAGCTATATTAGTAGTAACTCCCTCCTCTTTAAGTACTCCCTATAAACTCCTTTTACTAACTCCTAAATTATTTTCTATTATTAATCTCTTATTAATCTTTTTAGGGGACTAAATTATATCTGTTTTAATAACTCTTTTTTACCTAGGAGTTACCTTCTTTTTAATTACCCCTTTATCTACCTCCTTTTTACTCCTTTTAGCTTTAATCCTTTTAATAGTATTATAAATAGATTTAATATCTTTTTTAAGGATATTACTAATTATATTAGGTAGAGTATTAGCTTCTAATAGAAGCTAAACTTAAGATTCGAATTTTAAAAGATTTTTAGCTATTTCGAAGAATATAGAAGATAAGATAGAAAACTAAAAAAATGTTTCTTACTTATAGACTATAGACTAATATTTTAGTAATATATTACGTAAGCTTAATATTTTTTTAAATTTTACTTTTTTTTCAATTAAATAAAAAAATATAACTAAGTAATATATAGTAAAAATTTATTTATATAATCTTTTCTAGCTTAAATAGGTATAGTTAAAAAATTAGACTTTTTTATACGTAAATTAAAAAGTTATATAACTTTAAAAATAACCTAAAAAAACCTACCTAGTTTAATAGTAAATTACGTAATATATATTAACTTTTATATAAATATTATACGCTAAAAAGAAAGAAGAGATCTTTAGCTATAAAACTAGGTATCTCCTATAATTTTAATACTTTTTTTCGTAGAGCTATAATACGTTGAAAAACGTTAAAAAATCGATTACTCCTTTTCGCTATCACCCCTCTATAGTATAAGAGCTATAAGAGGTAATATATAGAGGGGTAATAGTAAAAAAGAGTAATCGATTTTTTAACCTTTTTTAATAAACTATAACTTTATAAAAGAAATAGCTAAAAATATAAGAGATAGTTAGTTTTATAACTAATAATCTCTTCTTTTAGTTTAGGATAAAATATTTATATAAAAGCTATAATATATTATAATCTAGTATAGAACTAGGTAGATTTTTTTAGGTTATTTTTAAAGTAGTAGAACTTTTTAATTTACGTATAAAAAGTATAATTTTTTAACTATACCTAGTTAGGCTAGAAAAGATTATATAAGTAAATTTTTACTATATATTACTTAACTAGGTATATTTTTATATTTAATTTAAAAAAATAGAAATTTAAAAAAATAAAAAGCTTACTAATATATTACTAAAATTTTAGTCTATAGTCTATAAGTAATAATCTTTTTTTAGTTTTCTTCTTTACTCCTATATCCTTTAAAATAGCCGAAAATCTTTTAAAATTCAATCTTAAGTCTAGCTTCTATTAGAGGCTAATACTTACCTAATATAATTTATAATATCTTAAAAGGGATATTAAATCTATTTATAATACTATTTAAAGAATTAAAGCTAAAAGAGGTAAAAAGAAGGTAGTTAAAGGAGTTATTAAGAAAAGATAACTCTTAGGAAAAAAGAGTTATTAAAAGAGATATATTATAGTCCTAAAAAGATTAATAAAGATTAATAGTAGAAAATAATTTAGGAGTTAGTAAAAGGAGTATATAAAGATTCTTTAAAGAGGAGAAAGTTACTACTAATAAGCGATAAAAAGCCTATTATTTTAGCTTTTTTAGCTAAATTAAGGGTTAAGTACGCTAAAGAGCAGCTTAAAAAGCTAGAAGAGAAGGAAATTAATCTAAAAAAATTATATTTTTAGATAAAAGCTCTATATAAAGGGGGTATAGAGCTAGGTAGGAGAACTATTGAAAATTTGCTTTATAAAGGCTAGAATAATTAGTTTCTATAACTAATAAAAGTAAGTTTAAAAGATTTCCTAGTATACTATTTTATTCTATTTTTTATCTATTTTTTTTCTATTTAATTAGTTTTTTAATAGTAATAATACTAACTAAGTTATAGCTAGAGATATAACTATCTTAGTTTAGGGAGCTATTTAGATAGGAGGACGATTTTAATTAATCTTTATAAGGGACCCTATAAAGACTTTATCTTTCGATAATAGAAGATATATCCAGAGGTACTAATCTAGTAGTTAAAAAGTATATAAAACGTAGTTAGTATTACTATCTCTTTTTACTCTTTTATCTATCTATATATATAACTATATATATATATATATATTAGTTATATTTCTAGATTATATACTAATTATCTATATAGGGTGAAATATTAGTAAGATAACTATAAACTCTATAAAGCTAAAGTAGTTAAGGATTAGTTTAAAAGGAATAAAGTTAAGCTTTATCCTTACCCTACCTATAGCCTAGATCTAAATCCTATTGAAAATATATAGAGTATACTTAAAGATAGGCTAAATAAACGCCCTAGAAAGAGCTTAGGAATAGGAGTTAATAAAAGGAGTATAATACTCTTTAAAGAGGCTATAAAGGAGAAGTAGCTAGCTATAGCCTAGTTAGCTATAGATAACTATATATATCTCTTCTTTAGCGATATATAGTAGTAAAGATAGCTAAGGTTATTAAACTAAGTATTAACTTAGTTAAATATATAACTCTACTCCTAAACGCGTAAAAGCTAGAAGTTTCTATATAATATAAACTAGTAGTATAATATATCTAAAAATCTAGTATATTATAGTTATACTATAGTTAAATTATATATATAAAATATAGTAAAAAGATACTCGAAATAAAAAGTAATAGCTCTCTAAAGAAGAAGAAAAATAAAGCTCTAACTTTAAAAGAAATAGAACCCCTAGTATACTTAATAATTAGAATCTAAAATTCTAAAAAAAATATATATAGTTTTTCTCTTTAAAAATCTATATCTCTTATAATTTTAGCTATTTTTTTCGTAAAGTTATAGTTTCTTAAAAAAGGTTAAAAAATCGATTACTCTTTTTTACTAGTACCCCTCTATATATAGATAGAGGAGAGTCTTATAGTTAGTAAGGTATCTAACTTAATTATAGAAAAAGAAGGTAGTAGTTATAATAATAGTAAGTAGCCTATAAAGAGGGTATATATAGAGTAATACTATAGCTATTATAGTAAGATTAAGTATAACTCTTATATATATAAGGTAGAAATAGAGGATATAGATAATATTAATACTTCTAATTAATACTATTCTAATATATATACTATAAAAAATTATTATTATATTATATAATATTATTATATAGGCGTTATATTAGTATTTAGTAGATAACTCGCTTAAGTAGGTAACTTATTTATAAAATATATTAATAGTTTATTTTAGGTTAGTAAACTACTATTATAGTAACTAATCTAGTAAGTAGTAAGTATATAGTAGATATAGTTAGACTAATAATTAGATAAATATTATAATTTATTATAAGCTTATCTACTCTTTATTATATATATATTAATTAATTTAATATTACTTAGAAAGAGTCTTATAGTATTTAAGATCCTCTTTAAAAGCTTTAAGACCTATAGTTAATAGTTTAGATTAACGCGCTAGTTCTTAAATATTAGAGGCTAGTATATATTTAGTAATTACTAGAAGGCTAATAATTTCTAGCTCTTTAATAAGTTTAGTAGTTATTACTAGGTTAATCTTATCCTAGATCTTATAGACTATATATCTAGATTATAGCTAACTTAACTAGGTTATATAGTTAGTATTACTCCTTAGTATTACTATAGGATCGCGTTACGCTTAGTAGATTATTTTATTATTATTTTATAAACTATAATAGTAATAATTAGCGTTATTATTTAAACTTTTAAGTTAGTATTAATTAGGTATATAGTATAGTAGTAGCGCGTTATAATTATACTATAGAGGTCCTAAGTTCGAATCTTAGTATACCTACTAGGACTAAATCTATAATATTAATTTACTATAAATTTAGTTCTTTTTACTAAATTAATTAGTAATTAGCTTAACTTAGTTAAGATATTAAAGGTTAAAGTTTAGTAGAGTATACTAGGGACTAATTATAGAATATACTAGTTAGAACTAGCTAATTAATAGAAGTTAGGTCTACCTAATTTCTATAGTTTATATACTAATTAACTTAACTTATTTTAGTTATTAGTTTATCTTAATTTAGTTAAGGTAGTAAGACTCTTAATTATTAGATTTTAGATAGGTTTAATAGGTATATAGTATAGGAATAAAGTATATTATTAAAGACTATAATAAATAATATAGTAAATAATTAAATAATTATCTATAAACGCTCTTAATTATTATCTATAAATATTCTACTTCTTCTATCTACTATACTTTCTACTAGTTTATATATCTATCTCTACTTAGCTTATTAAGGTCTCTTAGTTTAGAGAGTAGAGATCTATTATCTCTTATTAAGTAGTTAAGCTAGCTTAATATAGTTATTCGATAGTACTAGTTCTATATAGCTTATCTATACTACTATAAGCTATTAGATATTAGCTTTACTAGTTATATTAGTTATATTAACTATACTAGCTATACTAGCTATACTAGCTATACTAGCTATACTAGCTATAATCTTAGATATAGTCTTAGATAGTCTTATAATAATACTTTTATCTAGTAGTAGATAACTAAGTTCGACCTTAGATTACCTATAAATCTAATAATTATAATAATAGTATTTAACTATTCTAGGTAAAGTATATTACTAAGACTACTACCTAAGGTAAATCTAAGTACTTTTACTATATATATATTTAGTAGTATTTATAGTAGATAATAAAAATATAAATACTTAAAATTTACTCCTACTAATAAAGAGGGTAACTAACCTACTCTAGCTATACTCTTATAGTAGGCTTTACTATAAGAGAGGTTTATAAGTAGACTAAGTATACTCTTTACTAGTATACCCTACTAGTACTTATATTACTATATTACTATATTAAAATAGGTACTTATTTAGTAATTATTAATACTTTATAGTTCTTCTATTAATAGTAATTATAGCTAGATAATACTCTCTTATATTACCTAAATACTTCTTAAATTCTTTAAGCTTAAGCTTCTCTTATTCCTCTTCTATATACCTCTTAACCTCTTCTTTTATTATTAGAAATCTATACTATATTCTTCTCTTTAATATCTTCTATATATTCTTAATTAGGGTTAAATTAGGAGAGTTTACTAGCTATACTATTATAATTATACTATTCTACCCCTAAGCTTAATAGGTTACTTTTACTAAATAAATTAAAATATTATCCTCTATAAGAATAGACTAGTAGTAGAGTATCTACTATAGCTTCTATATAAAAGCCTTTATACTAGGGTATATATATATATATATAATATATATTACTATTTATTATCTTCTTCTTATAACTAAGCTCTATTAACTAGTTCTTATTAAAAATTACTAAGGGTCTCTTATTTCTATAAGAGATAATACTATAGATTATCTAGCTTAAATAACTTCTAAATTTAGAGATATAGTAATTAATATTATAATACTCCTTAATAGATTTAATAATAAAGATCTAGCCTCTATTAGTTTAAATTAATACTTTATCTATAGAGGGGTGCAAAAAATAAAGAGTAATTATTTTTTTAACCTTTTTTAAAGTTATATATCTTAATAACTATTATTACTAGTAAAAAAATAAAATATTAATTTTATAGAGAAAAAGGTAAATTTTTTTTTCTAATAAAAAATTAGTAATATTAGATAATCTATATTATTATATTTAGAGTTAAAGTAGGGGTATTTTTTTACTTTATTTTTAAAGTAGTATAACTTTATAATTTACGTTTAAAAAAGTCTAATTTTTAACTAAGCCTAGTTTAGTTAGTAAAGATTATATAACGAAATTTATAGTATAGGTTACTTATCTAAGTAATTTTTTAGAATTAGTAGAAAAAAATAAAAAAAATAGATTAATAGTTAGCTTACGTAATAGATTACTAAAATATTAGTCTATAGCTACTAAATTAGTATTTTTTAAAATTTTAACTAAATTCTTTAAGTTAGTACTAAATCTCTCAAAACTCGACTCTAACGTCTAGCTTCTATTAGAAGCTAATAACTCTCCTAATAAGATAGCTACTATCTTAAAAAAGAAATTTAAATTTTTTTATAATACTATTAATAGAATTAAAAAGAAAAAATATAGAAAAGTAGAGGATATAAAAAGATATAAAGAAAGACCTACTAGGGTTTTTAAAGAAGAAAAAAGAGTAATTATAAGAGATATAATTTAAAGCCCTAAGAAGATAAATAAGAGATTAATACTAGAAAATAATCTAAGTACTAGTATAAGAAAGTTATAATACTTTTTAGAAGGAGAGAGAGTTACTATAATATATATACTAAAAAGTCTTTAAATTTTAACTAAATTAACTAAATAAAAGACTTAAGTACGCTAAATAGTAATTAAAGATAGTAGAAAAGAAAGAATTTAATCTAAAAAGGATTATACTTTTAGATAAAAGCTATATATAAAGAGGGTATATAGCTATATAAGAATACTATAGAAAAATAGGCTCTATTAAGACTAGAAAGTAATTAGTTTCTATAACTTATAAAAGTAAGTTTAAAAAAAATCCTAGTATACTATTTTTTTCTATTTTCTATTATCTTTTTTTCTATTTAATTAGTTTTTTTATTACTTTAATACTAACTAAGTTATAACTAGAGATATAACTATCTTAGTTTAGAGATCTATTTAGATAAGAGGATAATCTAAATTAATTATTATAAGAGACCCTATAAATATTTTACCTTTCGATAATAGAATATATATATAAGCGGTACTAAATCTAGTAGTTAAAAAGTATATAAAATATAGTAAATAACCCTACCTCTTTTTTACCCCTTTTTCTTTAATATATATAACTCTATATATATATATATATATATTAGTTATATTTCTAAAATATATACTAATTATCTATTTAGGCTAGAGATTTTAGTAAGATAACTATAAATCGATAAAACTAAAGCTATTAAGGATAAGTTTAAAAGGAATAAAGTTAAGCTTTATCCTTACTCTACCTTTAGTCTAGATTTAAATCCTATTAAAAATATATAGAATCTACTTAAAGATAGGCTAAATAAACGCCCTAGAAAGAGTTTAGGTATAGGGATTAATTTAAAGAGTATAGAAGCTTTTAAGCTTACTAAAATAGAAGAGTAGAACGCTATAAGCTAGTAGGCTATAGATAATAATATACTATCCTTACTTAGAAGGTAGGAGGCTATTAAAATAGTTATAGGCTATTTAACTAAGTATTAGTCTAGTCTAATATATATTTATTAACTAAAGTCTAAAAAAACCGAGTTTCTTTATAAATATTAGTATAGTAATACAATATATCTATAAAGCGGGTATATAATAGGTTCTATATAGATAATTACTATATATAAAATATAGGGAAAAAGATACTTAAAATAAAAAGTTATAAGCCTTTAAATACGGCTTAAAAAGATACCCCTATTTCAGTAAGCTACTATAGCTAAGTTACGATTACTAAGCTATAGATTTTATATAACCTAAAAGAGCGAGCTTTTCTCTTTAAAGATATCTATTTTTTATAGTTATAGCTCTTATATTAAGGAAGTTATAATACTTTAAAAAAGGTTAAAAAATAAATTACTCTTTATTTTTTACACCCCTCTATATCTAAATTACTACTACTTATATCTCTAAAGTCTATTCTAGGTAAGAATAAACTTATTTTAGTTTAGCTTCTTATTATTTAGGTATAATAAGTAACTTTTCTATAGTAGTATAGTAAAAGTAGCCTTCTTTTTTAAAGGCTTTATATAAAGATTACTTATAAGTAGAAACTTCTTCTAAGAATATAATCTCTTTAAATACCTTCTATTAGTAAAAGTAATTAAGCTTAGCCTAAGTAATAAAGTACTATCTAGTTAGTATATTAATATTTAGCTTTCTTCCTTTCTACTTATAAGGTATCTAAGTATTATATTAAAGAAAGTAAGTAATTAATATAGTTTACTAATAAGTACTCTACTCTACTAAGCGTCCTACTAAATACTAAGTAATAGTTTCTAACTTTAATAGCTAATAACTCTATAAATACTAAAGGTATTAAGCTAATTTTAATTATAGTTAAAGAGTTATATAAAAGCTTTTATAATAGCTAAAAATTAATATAATAGCTTATATAATTATAGAGATATAATAGTATAAAGTTAAAGAGCTTTACTTAGCCTCTAATCCCTTCTTCTAGTATCTAAGCTTAGTAATAAATTTTATATCTCTAATATATTATTCTTTATAATATAATAATATATTTTATAAGTAAGTTACCTACTTAAGCGAGTTACCTACTAAATACTAGTATAACGCCTATATAATAATAATTTTTTATAGTATATATATTAGAATAGTATTAATTAGAAGTATTACTATTATCTATATCCTCTATTTCTACCTTATACGTATAAGAGTTATACCTAATCTTACTATAATAGCTATAGTATTACTCTATACGTACCCTCCTTATAGACTACTTAATATTATTATAACTACTACCCTCTTTTTCTATAATTAAGTTAGATACCTTACTAACTATAAGAGTCTCTTCTATCTATATATATTACCTCATATAGCTCTTATACTATATAGCTATATTAATTACCTCTTAAAGGTATACTATTTCTTTATATATTAATACTAACGTAGTTTACTATTAAGCACCCTACCCTACTAAGCGCCCTACTAAATATTAGTATAATACCTATATAGTAATATAGTATAATACTATAATAAATTACTATATTATACGCGATAGAATAGTATTAATTAGAAGTATTACTTTTATCTATATCCTCTATTTCTACCTTATTAGTATAGGAGTTATATCTAATCTTACTATAATAGCTA